ATGGCACGTCCTGCAGCCTTTGGGGGGAGTCCTGGTAAGACGTCATACTCTTAAGAACCTGTTCCTGCGCGCAGTGCATGCCTCCACGGCATTCATTGGCAATTCTTGGAGTTGAAACAGCTGAAAAAGCTTGTACGACACAAGCAACATGCAGAAACAGCAAGTGACAACCATTGACAACCCGAGGACGTGTTGCGGTAGGAGTCCCGAGACTCATCCCCGAGCCTCTCGACATGCACCATTACTTTTGACATGTTTGGACTATCCTTGTGGTACGTCCCCAGTCTTGTGAAGGGAGGTTGGGGGGTTCCTTGAAATGAAGCCCTGGCAGGTTTTATAGAATGGGCAAAGCAAGATGATAAGATGTGTTTGTGTATATAGTGCTATACTTGTAGTATGTATTTATATATATTTATGTATATATAATATTAGATAATTCAGATGCATGGCAGCCAAGTCACTGCACAGCCATACAGTATCTACAGTATTATAGATGTTTTGTTCAATATCCCGTTATCCCACCAGCTCACCGATTGGATGGTCTTGTGTCACCAGGTCTGGAGGCCACCAGACCGGGACGAGTTGGGAGTTGCGTCCGCTGCAGCGCAGTCAGATTGACCACACCATTCTCCCACGTGGCCCTGATTGTGGGAAGTTATTGTGAGAATCTCACCATTCATTGGACCCGAAAGAATGAGCACCATGTTAAATTTGATTCCCAGATATTCCCAGCATAATTAGGGGGTCAGGAGTGATGTTCGCCCATCCGGGGTGAAAGATATAAAAGAACGCAACCATTGAAGGAAGTCCACGAGGGGCTGCACCCTCTCTTAACTCTGCAGAAGATGTTCTATGTAGTGCAAAGACTCCATATCGTGCACTGTATTGAAGACCCCAGTTCAGTTCGCATTGCCATTCGGAGAAGTCAAGCCAAGAACGGACCGTTTTCGACAGACCCGGTGACGGCTGGGGTGACTGGTGGGTGATGGTGGCATGTCCTTTTACTTTTGGTTGGTTGATTCAGTGAGCCACCAACTCCGGTACCAGTACCTTCCTACAGGAGTCACCTGCCGACTTTCAGCCCCCACACTTATCGATCCCCATTGGACGCGACGGGAAGGTCCAGGTATAATATGATACATGGCATTGACCCCTCGAATTTGTAGGTCGGACATCGTCCTCCCTCATGGGTTGGCGATGTCTCGTTCGGAGTTCCAAGACGAGCGACGAAGGACGAAGTCCCACGTCCCAGGTTGGTTCCCAGACAAGTATGTGGTCAGAATGTGGATGCTCAAGTATGTTGGGGCTATTCTCGTTGTCTCTACAGGTGTTTGGTGCATTTTGCAATCTTCAATATGCACCCCTCTGGGCTTGGAAGATGAGGATTTCTTCCTTCAATCGGGTCAAACAAGCTGCGAATGAGAACCGACTGCCATGGGTGTTTTGATGCTTGGTGCTGCTGTTCTATGCTGTTCTCCCAGTGCGCTTGGTCCCAGCAAAGCCAACAATTTGGGAAGAAACTGGGGCACACATAGCGGTTGGTCTCCATGTAGTGAAGATACTGTTACCTGGTTTTGCTGGTGTGATTCTACATTCTACATGTCTCCGGATGAAGCTTCATCTTGGGAGCCAGATGCGATCATTGTTTCCGAGTTTGGCAAATCCAAGCTGACCTTCATCCATCCACATACTCCAAAGCCCACGCAGGTGACCGCGACGAACACTATGACCGCGGTCCCCGGCGGCGCTACGACGAGCCGCGGGAACCGCGCTATGAGTCCCGAGAACCCATTGGCTCCTTTGGAGGTCGGGGATGGCATGGAATGGCATGCCATGGCCCAAACTGATGTGTTGGGGGATGCTGTGGGGTTCTGGACTTAGACCAAAGGATGGGTTTCTGGGGTTGGTGGTTGTGTTTGGGTTCGACGGTTCTTTGTTCGGGAATGCAAGATAAGGTGTCGTGATCAGCACGCATGAGGGTGCCACCCAGGTTGCAAAAAGTCAGATGAGCCTCATGCGACAAGGTATTTGTGGCAAGACTTTTGCAAGGTTCAAAATGTGTATGACATACTGTCACTATCACTTGCCTCTTTTGCAGATGTCATGGAGCGGGAAGCTAGATGTGGGTGGGGCCAGCAACTTGTCTACCGAACTTTTAAGTACCTGCAAACTTGGTACCTGTGCATGGGAGCAGTATAGGTTCAAGGAGTTGGAGACATGGATTTTCCTATAAAGTTATGTGATAATTATGCACGTGGGTGCATCTGCTCAAGCTCAAAGCATCCTGGCAGCCACTCCCATACCACTGACTTACATTCCCCATACCACTCCTATATAAGGATTTTCCCTATACCACTTCCATACCACTCCTATAGAACAATGATATATACCTGGTATATACCTGGTATATAAAGCCTCCCATAGTGGAGGTATCACTTTGATAGGTACTTAAAAGTTTCCTTGAACTTGGGAGGGCACATTTGGACCTGTTTGGACATGTTTGCAGTTGCAATCATCAAAACTGATAGAATCTGCAAAGTGCGTTTCTCAAACAGTTTTGATTTTTAAGATATGTTCAGCCTTGTCCGGACTGGGTGCGGAACATCCTGTCCATCCCGTCCGGATGACTCGGTATTCTTTTGCCAGGTAGCAGACCCTCCAGAGAATCCAATGCTTGCCACCCAGAGCCGAGCATAGCTTAAAGAGACCTAAAAATAATGGTAGGACAGAGTGGTAAACGCTTAGAACACGCACACACAGACACACAGGGATGCAATCCTCCTGTTCATTTGTCATGTGAGGGGTGGCATGATGGTTCGGATGGATCCAAACTAGCACAGTGGTATAGGTATAGCCTTTATGCGGTCAAGGAAGCCATTCTTCCAACCGTTTGGAGAGCTTTCCTTCTTGGGCTTCTCATGAAAAAAGCTATGACACTAGTCAATTGAGGCCCAGCGCAGCATGCACAGCATCAGCTAGATTATGGGTTGTAGGTTTTTCCGTGGCAACCTGACGGAGATTGTTGGAAGATGTTGGAAGCTGATATACTTACCTTTGGATGGAATGTCCACTTTTCTTGGAGCTTCCCCGAATGCCCAATCCTAAGAGGGATGAACGTTAGAACCGTGAACTGACATCAGCTCACTCGTTTTGCCGACCCGTCTCCACTTACGAAAGAGATCCCCGGATTTGAAACTTGGCAAAACATGCTGACATTATTTGACAACATCAGTGGAATGCCTCATGTAGATCCTATCCAGCCAAGGATATTCCAAACCATCCTTGTTGAACCAACGTACGTATAGGTTCCACAAATGGCCCCTTGGATGTCAAATGGTGTTTAATCAACCACCCACAAGTGTAGGTCCTGTGTCGTCCTGATATCGTTTAGTTCCTCCCCGAGTGTTGAAAATATCTCTTGTGTGCTTTGTCTACTCTGTATATTCCCCCCCCACACCTTTCATAACCAACCGAACTGATGAAAGGATGCGATGATGCTCATGTTCCACCAACACCTTCATTGAGTGATGTGCCGTGTACCCATGGCCGAACGCCCCACGCCTCACGCCACCCCCGAGGCCTCCCGCGGTGAAGGGCGACTCAGGTCGACCCGTCCGTTCGATGCGACACCTGGCATCGGCGGCCGTCGTTGAGTGGGTCGCCGTGTCGGGGAGAGGTCGTTCAGTTGGGCAGTACAGCTGTCTTCGACCGTTTCGGCTCGAAGCAGGTCCCAAGTGGAGTGGCTGAACGACCGGGTCATGCACTCGGTGGCTGCAATTCGAGCATGCGCAGCGTAGAGGGGAGATGAGGAATGAGAACACGGATGTCGCAGTATGCGGATGCCCTAAACGGCACAAAACGGGCGCTTGCGCTCCAAAAGACCACACCTCTATCGTTGGTAGTTTGGACCTATTTGGGCAGTACCTATAAAGAAGTTGGATGCCTGACCATGCCTGACCAGAATCTCTTCAACAAGCCCCCATTTGAGAAAAAGATGCGTGTTCCGTTTTCTTGTGTTTACTCTGGCTGGGAAGAGGATTGAAGAGTTTGTTTTGCTTGTTTCTTCCTATCGAACACTCCCAGAAGCCCTCAGATTCTGAAACCCAAAAGCTGAGACTTACAGTTGCAGCCCAGATGGGGATCGCCAGAATAAGAAACCAAATGAGTATCCTACGCTAGAAAATCCCAGTGTTCCTTTTGATAGGATTCGATGATATGCAATGATATGCATGCATAGAAATGGGCATTTGTTTGTTATGTCCTTTTCTCCTCTCCAGCAGGCTCGCCTCGCTCGTGTACCGAGGCAGGTTTGCAGCAGGACTTAGACGCTGAGCGCGTGCTCCCCCAGCTCGCAAGAGCTCCTCGGCCCAAAAAAACTCACCACTCACCGTGTGGTTCGGATTCGGGATACACAGAAAACACAGGTGTTTAATGGTTTTTGAAACCCCCAATGAAGTTCTTTTTTGGTGGCATGTTGCTAATATGTTGCCTCATTTTGCCCAACTAGAAATCTAAATCAGGATGCTCCCTTTTTCAGTGCGATTGTTCACACCTACAAAGCTGGATTGATCCAATAACCTAGGCCCTAGAATTTGCTTGGGAGGTGGTTTCGCTTCTCACGCCACGAAAAAACCTCGTTCCGCTCTTCGAGGAATGGTTGACAGTCGACTATATGTCGAACATGTCTACGTAGCTGTGTGAAAAAACTGCAGGACCTGGTCCGGACCTTTTGGGGGGGGGGCCTCAGAAGCCGTTTAGCCGTTTTGGATCGGTTGGTCGGCTTGGTCGTTCGGACTCCAGGTGAGCGAGAAAGACTCCCTAGACATCTTGCAACGCACCGAGACTCAGAATGGCGAGGGACTAGCAGGGCTGGGAGGGACCAGCAGGGCTGCAACTCTGAGCTGCTACATGTAGCGGCTGGGTCACTCAGTGCTTTTCTGGCGTTGCAGCATCCCATTCAGCTTCGTTTCGTGGGTTGTTCTGCAAGTTGGGGTGGCCCTTCGAGCGGTTTTTTCGATGAACAGAAAACCCCTCCGAGCCGAGCATCCGGCACCGCTCGGCTCGAAAAATGGAGGATTTGGGTGTGGGTCATGGCACCTCACACTGCAAACCATTGTCTAAAGTCCATTTACCATTTGGGGCGGGGGATTCACCGGCGGGCGGTTGATTCACCCGAACGTTGGTCCATTCCGTGTGATCCGTGTGCGCCCGAAAAATATTATATATATATATAAAGACCATTGCCTAGCAGGTTGTGTCTCCCGAACATAGAGGAATCATAGAGGAATCTACAGATCAATCGATCTGATGGTTGTTAGTTGCGTTGACGCCAAACTGAGTCGATCGACTCGCAGTTGATCGGGGTCTTGGTGGTCGAAATGTCAATCGTGGCTGCTGCCTTCGTGGGTATCCAAAGGAATTGGGCTTGTTTGAAAACGGGGACGGAAGCCAACTACTGTGTTTTGAGTTACATCGCTTGGACATGTTTCCTTTTTGAGGTATCAAAGGATCATTGGCATAGGAAGCTTTTCTCAGACTTCCTCATGGATTCAGATTCGTCCTTTTTCCTCACAGCTTCTCCTGAGTTCATCTCCCCCTTTTGTTCAACCCGACAGGTCTCTCCTAACCGCCGCAGTTGTCACGACACCACACACCGTCTGGCGTTTGCCGGTAGCCGTTTGGCCCTGCGGGGAACCACCGGAGGGGCTTAGACCGTTCCTCGTCCATGGCGCAGAACGGCGACGGAAAGCACCCGCCCCCGCCGGGCTTGGGGGGCGATGCCGTTGCTTGGACAAAGAGGTCTGATCAACGGCAAGAGGTCTGATCTGCAAGAGGTTGCCTTCTGGCCCCAAGGCTTTTCCTCCTTCTATGGTTTCTTTTTTCCGTCGTCTTTCGGAACAAGGCACTCCGAACATCTCCATACCCACCGACTCCAGGCTTTTTCAACATGGACGATTCATCCAAGTGATTTCGTCGATGTGACTACGTGGACCCTCCGCACCTCCGTGAAAGCACCTCCTTCGGGGGCGTGCGACGTTCCGATTCAGCTGATTCAGCGAAACCAAGCAACGAAGGGTCCACAGACAGTCACCCGTTTGGAGTATATATATATATATATATACCATCAACATCCATCAACTCTCTTCCCACCATGGATTCTCTTACCAGCATCTGGGGGGGGGCCGTCTCCATATCCTTTGAAAGAACCATGAGTCTGCCTTTTTGCGGACTGACTGCGCACAGGTTGTGGCTGATGCTCATCATGACATCGCTCGTGACATTGGTCAGCAAGTGGAAGTAATGATCTTGGACGCGCCACTCGGCCCACAATTCGAATGAGAGGTAGGAGACTGCAGGGGAAAGTCATCGGATCCTGCGGCCTGTTGATAAGATCGTGTAGCAGTGTAGCCTGTAGCCTTTAATAGATGCATGCACTCCAAATATAGGTTGGGTATCCCCTGTCCAAAACATGCTTTAGTTTTTAGTGGAAAACGGTTTTCTTCTGCCTATGGAACTGAGTCACTGCAAGAAGAAGGAAACTAGTCTTGCCAAGATCCTCACAAAGGATTGGCCCATGAAAAGAGCAGAAGCCCATGAATCACCGTGAGGATTATTGCATTGAAGCTGATCGCTGAGGAAGCATGCGTCTGAGACCAGGGTGGGGAAAGAGATCCAAAAGATCAAACAGAAGATGGAGGCCATGGCAGAAAAAATCAAGATGATCAACGATCGAGTAGCAGCTGTTGAGCCAGGTCGAATCTTGACTGAACAAGGTGCATGTTGCTTTATCTCAAATCAGATGGAGGCATGTTTTTCTTTCGTTGCAAATCATGCGACGGTGGCCCTTCATATCCTTTCATCTTGAGACAACACAACTTATGTTGCCTGCTGAAAGAATTTGAAACCACTGAGCCTTGTCGTGGCCTCCCACGGCGTTCTCCACCACACTCGCACTTCTCCCATCTTCTCCCGCCCCGGTGCTCCTTGGCTTCCCTCCCCCCACAAAAACAGGAAGCGATCCTCTTTGCGGAAGACGCACCGAAAACGCACCACACCAACGCGCGAAAACGAACCACCCGGTCGGTGCCGTGCCCGTGTCTTACCAAACCGGTCGTGCCGAACAGCGAGGAAATGCGCTGCTCAAGACGGACCTCCAGGCGAGCATCGCCAAGCTTGAGGAGGTCTGGGAAGGCGAAGTCGGCTCCTCGGTGACGGGTGACGTTGGTGGTGGGTGAGGTGGGTCGGGTCGGTGTCCACGACGGTGGTGTGTTCGAAAGGAAGGTATTCTGTGCGTTGGTACAGTCTTCTGTTTCCAGGTGGCTTAGGCCGGTCATGTTGCCCTCTTTGTCCCTAGATCCATTCTGGCGGCAGGGTGCATTCATCATGACAGTAGAGTCTTGGCTGACAGCACTGCAAGCCCTTGCCAGCGAAAACCTGTAGCCATGCCAGGAAGGCTGAAGAGGTGTAAGAGCAAAAGGTGTTTCTTGCGGAGAATTCTTTTGACCCAAGTGACTGCTCTTGATCTTAGGTACCCTCAAGCACGAGTTGTGGCAGACCATCCAGGCACACAATCACAATGCGGACCTGCTGAAGCACCACAAAGATGTCCCCCGGACCAAGTCGCCTGCGCTGTCGTGTGTGTTCCACACAAGTCCTCGGTGCGCGGTCGATTGGGGTGTGAAACGACCACACCTGCACAGCGGTCCTGATTCCATCGGGGTGGAGACCCTTCCGTTCCAAACGGTCGATGATGGTCAATGGCTGGTCAATGGCCGGAATTGCTGCTTTCACTTGACCCAGCGCTGAGTTTCCTTCTGTCATGACCCAGTTCTGCGGCGCTACAGATGGGTGGGTGTGTATGATTTAGATGGGGAGACTCCGATCTCGCCCCTGGCTGGGCAAATTCCCTTCACCGAGCCCAAGGGGGTGGAAGTATGGGTCGGAGACCATCCCAGGTCGACTCCCTGGAAGAAGGAACATTGGAAAATCGACTTGAACCCATTGGGTTGGGCTCAGGGTGTCTTGCTATTTTAATAGTGTTTTAAGACACACCCATCCCATATGCATTTTCTGTCTATTTCGATCACCGGTGCATAGGAGATCGTGTTCGATCTTCCACCATCTATGGATCAAACCAGTCGAACACGGCAGAACGGGGGCAGAGTGAAACGACCGGAGCGATCGGACGCTACGAGCCCGGGCTCCTGGCATCGCGAACCGAACGGAACAAGCAGAACCCGAACAGGGCTCCTGGCCTTACTGCTAGGAGCAAGGACACTACTAGTAGGAAGACCTTGATTTCTGAGATGGACAGATGCCTCTTTTTGTCCCAGAGGTCCAACAAGTAGATGAAGAAAAAGTGTCCAGTATACGTACAAGTTGGTTCTACCATGTTCTACCAGGAATTCCACTCAATGTGTTCAATGTTTGCTCGCATCACCGGATTCCGCCGTTAGCAACGGGCGCTTGCCGTTGCTTAAGGCCATCGACCAAGTGCAGAACCGGATGACGGATGTCACCCCGAATCCCGAGTTGGAGCAAGTCCATTTGCAGCTCTTGCAGGCCGTGGACACCACAAAGAAACGTGATGATGGAGTCCAACGACAATGTCATGCCTTATGACCCCTATGGATTTCAAAATATTTCGATTGATTTCATATGGTTTGGGGTAGGACTTTGTCAGTTGCCTATATGGAGTCGAACTGAATTCTCAGTGGTTCCTTCCACTTCTCACATCCATAGTGGGACCCATGCCGAAGCGTGTCAGAACGTGGGAAGTGTGAAGGAAACTATGTTTCACGTACTGTTTCACGTTTTGCCAATGGAAGATCTCACCTGAGTTGCTTGGTCTCCCCACATGGTCAAAACATGTCAAAACCAGTTGGCTTGGCACACTGCGGCCTCATGCGGCCTCCATTTTGCACTCACTCTGCCAGGTGGACAAGGTACTGCAGCGGGAGATGGCAAAGGAAGTGCAGATGGACCAGCTGATGGCCCGTTCCTTGGCTGATGGCCCCAACGCAGAAAAAGTGGCGGTGAAGAAATGGTAGATTCACTTGGAGTTGGTTTGCTCTTTGGACCAAGTGAGTACCAACTCAGATGAGCATGAGCAAACCTGAAGAGATGGGTCCTGCATACCAACTCCATAGGGCATGTTTGGGCCAAAAAGTTCAAAACCTGTTGAAGGGTATCGAGCAGAGATGGTAGAAGATTGCAGAATATGGTTTCAAGTTCCTGTCAATGGCCCTGGATCTACTTCCAGGTGCGAGTCGGATTTCTTCCAGCTCTGCCTTCCACCGATGAAGGATGTGCCAAATCTGTCTAAAGAAGGTGTTCTTTGAGACCAAGTTTCCAAAGGGAGTTCCAGGGATTTTTCATGACCAGCACATCAGGTCCGTGTCGTTTGCGAGGGACGTCTTTGCGCTCTGCGCGCTCAGATTCAGCGAAACGGACGCACAGGTGGGCAGGTCGGGCCTGGCTCAATCGCCTTGGATCGACCTGATATTTTTGGATATTTTTGGAAGATGTCGGTTTCTAGAGGTCCCGACCGTAGATATTTAGTTGGACCCATAGTAACATAGAATGTTGAGTTCGCAAGTTTGGTGTGCTTACGTAGGTCCGCGTGGCTGCACGTCGCATGCCGCGCCGGACTCCAAAAAAAACACCTCAAAGGTCGCCAGCCTCGCCCGGCGTGTCTTGAAGATCTTAGTCGTTGCTCAGCGGCTACGAACGAACTGAGAAACTCAGGTCTCGCAGTGGTGCAATCACAACTGATGAAGCTCGGTGGCGTCTAAGAACTCCATGCAAAGGTCAATCGATGCCAGAGAGATTCGACTCTTTGTATTTCTTTTGTGCTGTTTGATGAGTTTGGATCCTCAGCCACCACTCCACTCCACTCCACCCACTCACCTAGCTACTCCCTCGCTCACTTACTGACTCTGCTTACTGACCCGCTACCCCCTGTGTAGTTCTACCCCAGGAACAGTTGGGCGCTTGGCAGCAACCCCGGCGCCTTCATGGGGGCACAGATGACGCAAATGAATGCCCTCGCAGCGCAGAGCGCGGCTGCGCGCTTGGCGGCGGGAAAGAAGGCACAGAAGAAGGCACGGGCACCCGCCGTGGTCTCCACCTGGACCGGTTCCAACGGTCGGACGTGTGTGGTTTGGGTGTGAGGTGATGTGGCAAAGCATTGCTTTTTCGCACACCGATGATGACGAGATATGACGAGTCCCCTCGGTCGACAGCGACGGCGAGTCCCTTTGTTCCGTTCAAGAATAGAGAATGGAAAGCCTTTTTCAGCACGAATCCCTTCACTTTGCTCACGTGAACATCTTCCGAAAACGACATGCGCACGTCGGCAGTTCGGAATCGCCGAAACGGCCGAACACGGCCCGTTGGGCGCGTGTCTCTTGGAGTGGGAGTGGCTGTAAGCCATGCGTGCTAGAGGACTGGAGCAATCGGTTTAGTTGGATGGAGGATGAAGGTAAAAACATGACCACTAGCACCATTAGTCTGTCGGAACTTACCCGTAGAGCCGTCAGTAAACAAGCAAATCACTATTTTTTGGACAGGGCCTCTACTAACCATCATCATCCACTGTTACAGGTAATAGGATAGATAGACCCAATCTATCAGTATCAGTATCCGTCTCTGTGAAGCTTTGCAAAAACACATTGACCATCCAGGTGTCACGCGGGTATCAAGACATGCAGAAGATGTTCATTCCGCGCGTTGGGCCATGAAAGAAGAAGAGTATGCACGGTTGGAAGTCACTCTCCGCCTTTGGCATGATTCGACCCTCCTGTACACCAGTCATGACTCGCAGTGATCCATTCATGACCCAAACGTTGGTGTTGGACGACTCGGTGGTGTGTTGGCCAGGCACCAAAGGCCAAAAGTGCAAAGGTGGGGAACGGCCGGACGGGGTCGATCGAAACGGCGGAAGGAGATGCGAAGCATAGGAAGATGATCAAAGGTGGTCTAAAATGATGTGAATAATAGCTACTACTAGTAGCTTCTTGTTACTACAGGTCAGGTGAAACGACTCCCAAGGTGAGCAGAACCTGTGAAGATGTCCATGTTGATCGCCTCCAAATGATTGAGGGAGAGGGATCAAGTTAAAAGCGAATGAGTATCAGGCATGGAAGGTGAAGTCTCCAGTCTCCTCAACGTTGGATTCTTAGGAAGTGGAGTTGTCGCAAGTGTAGTTTTGTGTTTCTGTGTTTTGACTTGTAAAATCGGGATGCGAGAAGTGGCTATGATAAAGGCTGCCTTTTTCATTCAACCTTTGTTTGCTGAATCAACAAGCAAATGATGATCCATAGGCCCAGGCCGGGGAAACCATACATTTGGATTGTTCAAATGAAAAGTCAACAGAAAGATGGCCACCTGTGAGGCGAATAGTGCTGCTTTGGCAGCGGCATCCTTGAGAGCTGAGGCACCTGAGTTTGTCCCCAGCTGGGAGTAGAGTCGATCGGCTCGCTGCACAGAGTTGATTCAGCGCCCGAAGGCAGGGAAAGTGACTAGATCTTCGTATCTTAGGGAGAGGCCGCTCTTGTGATGTTTTTGTTGCTAGTGATGGAAAGATACAGAATGTTCTGTCCGGACACATGTGGTCGAAACTTTCGGTCACTCCCAGACCCAGGAAATACTCCTGACTGATTTCTGTGAAAGAACAGATGATCCGGGAGATTCGGTTGCAGATTTTGGAGTCAAATCCCACCAACAGCTTGGCGCAAATCTCGAGAAAGTCCGCAGCTGAACATGTGCGCTCAGAGTGGATGGCATAAAGCCATCGGTCGGCCGTTTTGGAATGGCATCCACACATCTGACGGGCAAAAGTAGATAGAGTATATAGAAGGGAAATGACGGGGACAACATACCCTCCCTCCAACAATCATCGAAGTAGACAATCCACTCTTTGTAGAGGAAATGGTCATTTTAGGCGCCATTGTCCACTTGTGTTGGAGGGAGGGTATAATTACTATAATCTTCATGAAGTCGATCTTTGTAGGCTGATGCAGCTTCTATGTCCTTTCGTCAAAAAGCACGTGGTTTTTTGGACAGATCCAGAGATGTCTTTGGGGGGAGGGTCCCTACATGCATTGAAGACATCTAACCCCCACCGGTGGAAATCGGAGTGAAACAAGTCTCGGAGTAGTCGACCACGGTTTTCGACCGAGGCTTGGAGGACAGCGCCAGCAGCGTGCGGGATCCCACCGCGCCCGGTGGCCGAGGAAGGCAAAACGGGCGCGGTTGGGCGGTTCTGTCAGAAGTGTCGAGAGGAGGCAAAAGGAGTCTTTGGTTGCCCCTAGAAGCTAGAGCTGGAATGGACCACTCCGTACCTCCTCCCGAGGGGGGAGGCACCAACCAGAGCACATCATGCAACGATGGCCCACGAACAGCTTGGCAATGGGTTCTAGACGTGGCGTGCTCCAGGAGAGGGCACTCATGTCGTGGGGCCTGAAACAAAGAGCCTAGGAAACCGTATAACCAAAGCTTCGATCCTCTTTTGCGAACAAATTTATGGATCTGTCAGGTCTACTCACATTCCAAGCGTGTTTGCTCTTCAGGAGTCAGGTGAGGCCAGGATGCACCATCCGGTTCGGTCATGAGGGAGTGGGCATGGAGGGGCTTGCTTCTTGTGAGACATATAATATAAAGACCCCCAAATAGATACAAAAGTAGATCCCCGCTAATAATGTATTGGAAACCGTTTCTATCTATTTGGGGATCACTATCTATTTTGTAAATGAATGTTTGGACAACGTTGAAGACATATATTGCAAGGTAATCCTTGTTCAAGGATCGCATGAATCAATGCGTGGTCAGACCAGCTCAGACAAAAGGGTCGCTGAGACTGTAGATATGAAGACCGAACACGCAAGCCGACAGACAGCTCCGAAGGACTCTACGAACTTGACCAAAGCCGGGCTCAAATCATGCCTGCTGTGGAAGGAATTTCAGCTCTCCAAGGATGTAGCAAAAATATCACTCTCAAGGAAAGAAATGTGCGACTCAGAAGATCGTGATGCGCCTACAGATGCAGCTCATGTAGCATTCTGAAGTTGTCATGTTCCGTCCATTTGCATAGTTTCCATGCATGAGCTCCGCCACATACCCACAAAGGCCACTGAGGCCACCTGAGGATTGTTTTGATGCAAACCACTTCCATTTGTCAAACGCCACCGATCCACCAGCCAGATAGCCAGATGCAGGAAGAACATGCGCGAACTTGATGTCTACATGGACCAAGGCATGTAACGCATACTGAGGTTTGTAGACATTTGATGATAGTGTAAAGCCTTCCTGCAAGAGAATCCCATGACTGTACTTAGGGCAAATATGGGCAAATGGGTATTTCCATCTTCCCGACAATCCCAAAAGTGACACGAAGAGCAACATGCAAAGAGAACTTCCTTCGATACTTTCTCCAACTGCTGAGAAGACCAACACGGATCGCTGAAGCCCCTTCTGTTTGTTCGCACATATGACGAACGCAGTATGACATGAGGAGTTCAGTTTGAAGGCAACGTCCATTGCAACAAATGAAAAGTTTGTCCTACACCGCAAAAGAAACATGAGAAACCGCATCGAACGAGGTATGTCATTTCTGCCATCCGCCGCGTGGTCGACGGGAAGGGGAAGGCGGTCGGGTGGCGCTGGGCGGCGTTTTGGGCGGCGCTGGGCAGTCGGGATGCGGTATTTTCATTCAGTAGCTAGAAGCTACTAGTAAAAAAGGGCATCGCTACTAGCAACAAGAAGCTACTAGACCTTTCTTCCTATTCTTTTTCATGACCTGGTTTTGCTGTTTTCTACCTCGCCAGTGGGTGAAACTCTCACCAGTGGGTGATCTTTTCATGCGGGTTCCCTGCGGGTTCCCTTTTGTGTCAGGGACCTGACAGCAGTAGTAAAACGTTGATCACGAATAGAATATCTTTTCTGTTTTTATTTCAAACTCATCCATTCCGCCCCATGGTTTTCCCGAAGACCGGCCCTTTGCCGTTGAAGCGACCAAGACCGGCCCATGCCGTTGATGGGAGAGAACGTCTTTGAGTCGAAACCCCCTCTCCTGTTTAGACAAGGGGATATTGAGACAGGTGTCATGCATGTAGAGCTGCCATTGAGAAGACGATTAAACTACGGTGATGGTCTGGAGTTGGTGGGGATGGTTGAAAAATTCTTGATGAAATCCAGTCGGCAGTTCGTGGATGGCTTCATAACGCTGTCCTAGAGGGGATGGAATGTTCATGAATTGTCTATATTTCTGGATAGCTTTAGTAAGTTTCTGGATAGCTTTGAGTGTGAGACAAGAAAAGCTATTTGCACGGATTTGCCAGGGACGATGAGAATGAGTTTTGCCTGGAAAGAATTTGAAGAGGAGAGGTCACTGGGTTGCGCAAACTGAAGAAAGGGCAGGGTCACTGAACAGATCCTCTCTAGTGAGCCATTGTTTTCTGTCCAACTCCACCAATCAAAAGGACAGTGGATCAATCCTGTTGCAACTAGGCATTTTGATGTATTTGACACTTTGCTTGGCTAGTTTGCGGCACCTACAAATGTTACGTAGTTCCATCAAAATTAATAAATATGGATGAGCGATCGATGCTTTTAAAATAGTTAATTGAAATGAATATTTGGGAGTTGATCTAAAACCCCGTGTAAGGAGTTCTATATACAATAGCCTTTCAGATGTTGCTACAACCATCCGCGAAAGATGCGCGATGTGGCTCGCGAAAGTATGTGTTTGTTCCGTGAAAGATTTATCAAAGGTATTCGCTTTCATATGTTTTCCTTTCTTGTAGAAATACAAGGCAGTCCTCGCAGAGCCGGTGGGCGAAAGTGTCCCCGCATGTTCCCATTGTCACAGACTAACGAGCTCAAGCCTCAACATTTCCTTGCCCAGCCCTCGGCGTAAACTAGCAACCTGAGTGGCCACAACCCTGACAGTGAGGCAACGACCTGCAGCTGCTCTGACGGGCTGCGCAGATGTTTGCAAATATTATGCCTTCCCGCAAATAACCCCTAAAATTAGGAGAAAGATCCGCGAAAGCTTCGCAACTGTGCCGCTAAAGTCCAGGTTCCCAGCTTGAGGCTCCCCAACATTCCGCAATAGCTGGCATGGGGATTGGGTTGTAAGGCTCCCCCTCCGCCAGGGCTTAGGATACTTTTCGAGACGTCGCACAGATGCTGCAAGTGACCCTGAGTAGTTGTGGAAACTCTTAACTTTCTGCTGGGGACATGCTGCAAGATGTCAATCCCGAATTTGTGATACATACACGAATGGCTCCGGCTCATGTTAGTTAGATATGGTTGTAGGACCATGCTTCGCGATGAGGCCGCGAAAGATCCGCGAAAGATATTTTTCCCACGAAGAACGGTTATTTTATGATGAAAGAGTACTTAATTAACGATTACTTAAAATTAAATGTTTATATATATATATATATCCTTGATATTGGTATAAAATCGATATTGAAATGGGTATATATATATTAAAATAGTAATTTTTAAATATATTGTTTATTATATTTGATTGAATTTTAATATGAATTAGCAAAAAATTGATATAATTGGATTAATATAACGTTGTAAAAGCGATAAATATAAATTTTTAAAAATATGGAAAATATTAATATTGATTAATATATTATTGTTATATTTGGTTTTATTTTTCTTTTATGCATAAAAGTAATTATTAGGTGTTATTGTAATTTTTATTTTATATTATTATATTTAGGAAAATTGTTTTATGATATATTGATATATATTATTATTGATTTAGTATATATCGAATATTGAATATATAATATTTAAGATATAGTTGATTATTTTTTGGAATTAAATATAGATTATGAATTAATAAAAATATTTTATAAATATATATTATTTAATATGGATAATATATTTAAATTATTAAATTTATTTGTGAAATATTGATAAATATACAAATTAATATATTTATTGTTATTTAGTTTTTTAATAAAAGAATATATATGGGAAAGGAATTGTTATTTAATGTTTAAATAAGAAATGGTTGATTGTATATTATCCGAGGAAGATATTATTTGATTAGTATTTTAAATTTATTTCATAAATATTGTTAAAAAGGATTTAATTATTTTTAAATAAGGATTATTATCTAATTATTTCTTAGTCTTGATATCGAAGGATAAGTATTTGAAAAGAGATCGTAATTTTTTATAGCGATGATTTTAATTTTATAATGATGGATTTAATTTATTAGTGATTATTTTTTATTTTTTGTTTAATATTTTGTAAATAATATTGTTAGGATATATTTAAGATTTTTTTATATATATTATATATTTTATATATAGATAATTTTAATTATAAATAAATAAAATTTAAAATATATATTAGAAAAAAATATTATATATATAATGAATATATCGATTATATCTAATAATTAATTAATTCACCGCCGATTAATATTAATAATATTCTGGCGGATTATAATTATTTATATTATTTTAATTTATAGGCAGGCTAGAAAAAAGGTAATAATAATAAAATGAATGGTAGATAATAAATAAATTATAATATTTCGCAGCA